ACTCGGCCCCCGGTCATTTCTAATAATGATTAATGACCTGAGAGTGGCGAATACGAACATCTGGATGTATGTGGATGACACCACCCTCGCTGAGTGTGTGGAAAAGAACGGAACCAGCTCGATGCAGTCGCGCGTTGATGAATTTGTTACAGAGTCTCGTGCTGATGGTTTCCAGTTTTGTGAGCTTCGCTATTTTAAGTTTATTCTTCATGGCTGGATTGTTAAAAGCCGCTCTATAGGAAAAAAATTGCTTTTTCCACTTGTTGTAGGTAAAACTCCCTCGATTGGTACCCGTACCAGTTGCCATTTCTCAGCTAAGAGCTCGCACGGATTAACAATTAAACCCGAAAATTCATATGCAGCTACAAAGAACACGACGTTGTTAGAAACGAACAGGGTTTTTTTCTCTTCGGGTGTTTTTCACAGACAAGTTTTTGGCCGATTCTTTCTGAATGGTGTATTCTATCAAATAGCGGCCATATTCAGAGTTGCTTGCCGGTAAATATTAGTCTTCCAGCTATGAATTAGTATACATGGAAATTATGACACCGACAGCGTTTTGAGAGGCGGCGTCAATAGTCGATTTTTGGCAATTTTGGAGACCATTTTCAAATGAACAAGTTACACTCGGGAGTCAAAAGAGGAGAGTGGTAAATGTTTATGGACACTTTTTAATTCCGGTTATAAAAATAAAGTTTCCTACAGCTATGCAGTTTTCTCCTGGTCCCTAGAATGAGGACAAATAATACTTACATAACAACTCATTAGGAATATCGAATGGCGGGAGTCATGACGCCAGAGGCGTAAGAGCATGTTCAGTCGTTTTTCGTCAGCACGAACACAGCAGCAAAATGAGTGCACATGCATTGAGCGTCTAGGCTATGATTCTTCTGCAAACATAGGCTGATGCGTAGCCATGTTACGGCTGCTCAACTTCAGCCATTAAATGCGCACCTGTAACCACAATACGTTTTTGTTGAGAGAGATATGTGACGAAGGAGGGTCGACAGAAACTTTCCTGGAGAAGGCAACCCTTTTCTGTTTTGGTTTGGGCTTATCCCCACGAAATAAGAACAAACAATAGAAATTTTAAAAAGGCCGCCATTTTACCTCGGTAGTGTTACTATGGAAGTATTGTCGTTCCCATTCCTTTGCACGCGTAACTTTCTCGCGAGTTACAAGCATGCGCCTTCGTTTTGCCGCTGTATCGTCAGCACAAACATATTTAAGTGTGCTGCATCGGTTCCAACACCTGCTTCTTCGACGCTTTCTGTTCTTCCCGCGAGTGGTAGACCAGCAGATGCAACAGGTTCCACTGCCTCGCGCGTACCACTAGTAACTACCATCTCATGGCTTCCTCCCTGGGTATCTTGTGTGTCTTGAGGCGTTCTTCCTGATGTTCCAGTAATTACCAGCTCGTCGCCACAAGCTTGGGTACCCTGACCGGTTATAACCACTGTCTCTGATGTCTCAAGTCGCGAATGAGGGTTTGGGTTAGTCGCACAACAAATCTGCACTCGAATTTTAACTGTAAGGAGAAAAAGTATCATTATTTGCAGCGACTAGCCACTTACAACAAAGGCAAAGCAGGCTATTAACATGAGTGGTCGTCCGGCTAAAGTCAAGTAACTATATATTAACTAATTGAAATTTTTTTTATGCTTCAAAAATATACCAGGCCATTTCTGTCAAAATAAGGGCACAATGTGCACCGTACAGGTAACCCTGATACGTTGCGTAAGTGTCTATGTTAGAGGAAAATACCTTACTAATAACAGATATACAGAATAAATCAACAAGCTGACCTCCAGCTGAGGAATTGGGTCGGCCATCTATGTCTAATCGATCTTTGATGTCTTTGACGTCTTGCCTTAAGTGCTGCACTTGTTGGGCTGCAGATTCTACTTTCCCTCCAAGCTCATCTTTAATATCTTGGGCTTTTTCTTGAACCTCTTGTCTTAAGGATCGAGCTTCTTTCTACAAATGCTTCATTGAAGATTCAACCTTTTCAAGGTATTTCTTTACTTCTGTATCATTCTGGTACCAGCGCTGCAATTCCTGCTCGTGCCTCTTGTCTTCCTCTGTAAGGGGATCTTTTAAAAATTTATCAATAGCAGTCTTCCATTCTTTTGACTTCGCAGGGCTGATTTGACCCGCAATTCTCACCAGGCCTCGCTGATTTCTCTCCAAAGACGTGACAACTCATTACCTGCTAATTCCATGTTCTCGTTCACATGGCCATGTATCGAATTGCGGTAATACTTAATTCTCGCTAAATCAGCTCCAAAGCTGTGGTCTGTATTTAAAGGAAAACAATCCCAGCCCATGACAGGAGGGGTGAGGCCGCATATTGTCCTCAACAACCGGAAAAGGAGAGTTATATCAAAGTCTGTTGACTTTCCATACGTCCCTGCAGAAGGGTATAGGCAGTCCCACTGTGGTTTGGTGAGCTTTGCTGCCTTAAGGAGCTTTTCTGTGGCTGGATTCTGAAGTGTTGCGGGTAGATTACTTGTGGACATTTAACGTCAAAAACCTCCCTCAATAGCACAGTACCTCCACTTATTAAAAGCCGAGCCAAACGTTGAAAATTATCTCTCCCTTTCGAAGAACGAAACACCTCATCTGGGTCCGGAGCGGCTGCCATTTTTAAAGAAGGAAAAACTGAGGCAGGATCAGTTACCATACCTTCCTTGCGACTGCAACCCAAACTGTGAAAAAGATCAATGGAATGAATGATTAATCTCGCAGAAGACAGATATGGCTAATATAAATCGTCCCTGCATAAATAGGTTAGATGGAGGATCAGAGGATCAAAACGGATTGCTTTCAATAATACTTAGACATTTTCATTCCACATTATGTGTGTATGATTTTGCTGGCACGGAATTGGTATTCAGCAACTCACATGCGCTTTTCTGAAGGCTATCTAAGAAGAGAAATTTTACAAAAATACCTGAAATACTCTGATCTTAGCCCCTTTAACAAAAGCGACATATATTTATAGTGGGTCGAACAAATGACTTGAAATCTCCAGACCTACGTCCTTATTTAAATCACATTTAAGGACAGTTCGCACAAAAAGTTTATAATCCTTTTACTTTTCAAGCTTTTCAGTTTACGGCAGCGCTGATGAAAACTTAAAAACGCAAATGACACAGAAGCCTGATGTCCGTTTACTTTTTATCTATTTTTTTATACCATAAATAAATTAAAGATGAGAAAGTTTAGCACTAATACAGCTATTTAGGTTCTGAATTTCACCTGGTTATCAAAAGACTCTATTTAAGGACTTGAATACATTGTTCAGTCACAAGAGACTTGAAATACGTTTGCTCAAAGAAGGGAAACTAGGCGGGCTGGAATGTGTAGTACATTGCGTGACACAAGACAGAAAACACTTAGCAGTCACGATCGGCATGGTTGATTGCCACCCACTGCGTCTACTCCCTATGATTTACAGGAATAGATACACAAATTTCATATCATCATTCTCTCCCGAGGTAACTATGTATGATGCATCACTTATCAAAAACAATTTTTTTATACTTGCTGGAGCAGGGTAATGATAACAAGATAAGGACACGCTGGCTGCTATGATCATTATCTGTAAAGGAATTAATTGATTGACCTCAACCTAAATTTCAACCGAACAGGAACTGAGCGAGGCTTAAAATACTAGTAATATTCTGATTGAGCTGGTTTGCCAGTAAATCATCCTTCAAGTATCGCAAACGACATTTCTTAGAGATTCCAAACTAATGAAAATCTCTGAGATTTCCTATGGGAGCTGGTTCAAATACGGCACTCACTTGAATTGCGCTCACTTGACTGATTTCTCAATCACAAAAGCTATAACTTCAACAGATCTTCAGTCAAACTTTAAATGAAGAGTGGGAGATTAGCTCATGCAGAAAAATGTCACATTAAGCTTCTTACCTTTAGAGTTTTTTCCTTTCGAGCTACATCGAACTTAAACGTCGTCACATGCGGAAGTGAATGGGTTCGCAATGTAACATGGAAAAGCCCAACAAAAAAATAACATATGGACAGGGATGGTAGAGCATCGAATTGTCTTCCTTAGGTCAGTTTATCCTTTTCAAGACTTCTGGACATGCAATTGCTACTCTTATTTTGTTCAAAGAATGGAGCCCTTCAGAAAAACACTTAATTATTTTCCATTTTTGATTCTATTGTCACATGCGCGATGTAGTATCGTTAATGGTTTATTTCTGGCTTTCGATCTCGGAAAATCACGAGAATCATTCCAGAGACATTCTTGTACAAGCCATTGACAATAAAACGAATTGAATCAATAAAAACAGGATAAGGCCGTGATCTATTAGAATGCTCTGAACTTCCACAATGATCTCTTCCGGAATATCTTCCTCTGAGCCGAGTTCCTCTGAAAGGTAATCGTCTCGATTGGTGACCTTGTACGAACTTATCCATCAGTATGAGGGTAGTGGAACCCAATTCAGAAGTCACAAAAATATCCTTCTCTCTCAGGTCTACAAAACATATTTCTCAGACGGATGATCATATATATCTCTGCTGGTTACTCAAAGAAATTAGCTTTTAATTTAAAATCACATCGAGACCATAATACTCTTTACCTATGGAACTGTCAGTATATTTACTATTTCAAGCCAGCATTGGCTAAATCTGTCGCTTTAGGGCCACCTCCAACTGCCTCAATCACCATTCTCGACCAAACTAAGACAGCACTTTCACAAGTATCAGCTCTGAACATTAAATATCCTAAATAATACACGCGTATAGGCGCATTCCACCCGCCCCATATAGGAAACAATAGGCTAAAAATATATATATGCATTAACGATTTTACAATGATTGTACAGAATGACGTGTTCTGATTGGTCAATGATGGTTCATATCTTGCCATAATCGCTCCGGGCTGGGTGATTATAATTGCTTTCATCTTAACTTTACAAACGGCCGAAGCACTGCCATGTTTTGCGTGGAGATGTTGCCCCCTCAGTGGTACAGATTTTCAACGCGATAAGCGGTGGAGAAGATTTTGAAACTGACCTTCAACAGACAGACCGAATGAGGCGCTACGACTTCTAATCTCTTTCAGTACCGCTCCCAGTCAACTTAAATCGCTCCAACTGCACTCCTGAGGTCTTCCATGTTTTCATTGATTGCCTGAATCGCTGGCGTCTTCCCTTCAGCCACACTTCGTGGCTCCTCTAATATATGAACAGTGATTTCTTGTAGGTCTTCCACGGATTTATTTACTTTTGCATCCTGTTTATACCAGTCGAACAGTTCCTGTACCTATCCTTCGTCCTCTGATGTGAGGAGATCGTCCAGGAACTTACCAATAACTGCCTGCCAGTCATGCCTCTTTGAAGGGTGGATTTTGCCTGCAGTTGTTACAAGAGCTTCGCTGATTTCAAGCCACAAAAATAAGAACTGGAAGTCATCTGCTATCTATATATCAGACTTTACATGATCATACACTGCTTCCAAACTGTGATCTGTATTCAACGGTTGAGTATCCCACCCTGTGACGGGAGGGATGAGGCTGCAAATCGTCCTCAGAAATCAGAAGGGGAGAGTGACATCAAAATCTTTTGATTTGCCGTACACCCCTGGGAAGGAGTCTAAACAGTCCCGCTGTGGTTTTGCTGCTTTGAGCCGCTTTTTTATAGCTTGATTTTTCAATATTGTTGGAAGAGAAACTGATGGACACCTAATGTCAAAAGTTCGGCTCCACCACTTATTAACAGTCAAGAAACACGGTGGAAATTATCTCTACTACTCGTCAAACGGGGTATTTCATTTGGTTTTGGAGCAACCGCCATTTTAAAAGAACGAGTGAATAACCGTCAGTTTCACAGACGATGATTCAAATTTCAGTGAGATTTCTGCATCGAAAGAGACGTTGAATTCGTAAGCACTGTCTCTGAGCAAACTAGGCAATGGTTAAACCTGTGAACGGAATCTTGGTCCATACACACAAAGTCCTCTCAAGGAGAATATTGACTGGGTAGTAAAGGAAAGGGCGTGGTACTATATACATTGACCATGTTTGTTTCATCACTGAATACGTGACAGCATAAGATCATCCATAGTATTTAATTAACTGCCTTAGTACCCTTACACCCCAACATCAGTAGGCATATTCTCCATACTGTTTTCTGTACATTTCCTAAGGTGTTAATGAGGTGAATTTTTTTCCTTTATTCTCGTGACCTTCATCACGATGTGTTTGAGGGGTGATACAGCAAGGAGAAATTAGATGCTTGTCACTTTTAGGGAAAGAAAAGGTTAACACGAACTGCATCGTTACTTCTGTATACACTTGGAAAGGTTGGACACTGAGGGTTCGTCTAATTGCTATTAATAATTCGCATGTAGTAGTAAGGATAGAGATTTTCCAATGACCCTCTCCCCGTGCAATGCAACGCTCAGATGAAGCAGTTACAAGGTTCTTAACGTATCACAGAAGGGAAATAATGTTACTTTTTTTCAATTTCCTGAAAATTATTATTTTATTCCTGCTAAATAAACACAAAGATCTAAAATTTTCCAAAATTTTTATTTTGGTATCTTTTTCACTTTTGGAGATATAAAGCAAAACGTGATTTGAGAGCAGAAGAGAAGGCGCAAGGTTTATGACACTTCACGTCAACTTCTTCTCGTCACCTAGTTAACAAATACAAAACCACTAATGATTTACGATCGCGCTATGCAACGATATTTCATAATTTTGTAAAAACGACGCATTTTGTGATAAAGGTAGCGGCATTTTGTAAGGGCTTACACAATTTGTAAAAGGTACTGCAGCGTTTAGTAACCAAGGCGACCTACTCGTTTTCTTAATAAGGACTGTAGCAATTTTGTAATAATCGTTGGTCAACGCAATTTGGCACAGATATATTGACACATGGAACAGTTTACCGTCATCGGTAGTTGAACTTAACTTAATGAATAGTTTTAAGAAGGCTCTAAAATCAACATTATTTAACTTGGCCTATAAGTACAAAATTAAATTATTCTATATATTGTACATCATTTAATTATTCATCGTTTCAAAAGAATTTTTATCTTAGATATGTCTTCTTTACTTAGATTTTATACTTATATAAATATATGCTTGTATGTAAAATGTTGCAGTGTGTGTATATATATATTGCATAGTATTAAATATTTACATTTGGGGTATAGTTTACAATGAGGATTAAGTTCCTCCCTTCTATAATCCTTTTTTAATAATAATATATTCTATATGTTATGATTTAAATAAAGATGTTATAAAAAAAGTTGTTGTAATCTCAACTTTACCACAAAATCTGTTCAAAAGTAATACAACGATTATCGTTCGATGGAGCATTTTTTTCTTCCGAGATTTCGACTAGATCTCGGCGATATCTCCGAAGAAATGCCGGGAACCAATGGGGTCCATTTTTCTAAGATCAACAAATTTTTCATGTTCATTGTAACTTTTTTCTTCTTCTTATATGTACAGTTGTGGTGACGGTTTCTTGAAGTGGGGATGGCATTTGTCCTTAGCATTTGAAAGGTGAAACCTCCCCTCCCCCACTGAAAAAAAAAATCACGAATACAAACCTTGATCAACAATAAGCATAAATACATTAATTACAGTTTCATTTTTACTCATAATTTGAAATTAGTCTCAAGTTGGTGTCCTCGGAGATCTTTCTGGATAAGCTTTCAAGAGCAATTTGCATTGGTGTGGCTAAAGCACAAAGTTTATATGAATCTCGATGCTCGCCAAAGATAATGCCAAAAGCTTCAAGATTTCTATCTTCATCTCTTTCAAAGAGTACTGCTCCAGAATCTCCTTTAGTTGCAAACACTTTTGCATAACCAAGACCAAATGGATGATCTATACATAAGCAGTTCTTTAACCAAAGACGTTTACATAGAGTGGCTGTGTCTTTTTTACAAGAGTCACAAGCAGCAGCAGTAGACTCCAATTGCTCTCCAATTCCAGATTTTTTCTTACAACTTTGACAGAGTCTGACACGTTTCAACACACTGACCAAACCCTCATTTTGGGCATTCACTTCATATAAGGAAGCACTGAGAAACATTGATGGTTGCACATGACGACCAGACTTAGTGAATCCTGTGGTTCGGCCACTCTTGCACAGTTCTCCACTGGCTTTTAGTCTTGAACTGCATTCCCCACTTAGGTGATCTCCTGTTCCAATCATTTCAGCTGTTTGACTCTGTCTTAAACTATCAACTTCTTCTGGAGTCAACTCAGCCAGGGCAGCATCAACATAGTATTGTTGACCATCATTCCAAGTCACATTACCAGAAATGCCAACAGAGTATTTTGCTATGACCCTGGGTGGTGTCAAACCTTTCTCAAAAGCTCTTTCATGCAGCTCTAAAGCTTCTAATTTCCTCTTTGTCACCTTTGCATGGTGTTGGTGGTTTTCTTT